TTAATTGTTCAGTTGTTAAGTTACTATATTGTTGTGTTGTTTAGCTATTACATTGCTTAGTTGATATGTTGTTGATGAATAATTGTGTTGATGATCTGGAAAGATATCTTTATAATGATTTATGTTGTTATTTGGACATTTGGTCATGGTTGTATTGTGGTGATATAGCTATTTGTTTCTATATTTAATGTTGATTTCTTGAATTCAAGTTTATCCTTATAATTCTTTGTTGTTGGACTGTGATAATCATATTTATATAAAAGTAAGTTAGGATTAGGCTATAGGATGAGTTAGACTTCTTAAGCGTCATGCTAGAGATGACTATATTGTATAGGTTGTTCTGATACAACTTGTAAATAAATATTATTTGATCGACAATTTAAGATTTATGTTTTCAATTGAAATTACTCTATATAAGTGTGTTTAGGATTTTGTTGTATTTCAACTAAAAAAAACTTTATATTTTACAATTGATTATTTTCTAATACACACATACATATATATATATATATATATTCAAGAACTATTGCATAACAATCTTAAATAATTAGAATTATATAATCTGCTAATTAATTGCTGAATTGTAAATTACATAGACTTGTTAAGTCGTTACACAATGTTAATGTATTGAACATCCATGTTAACATTATGTTCGTATTGAATATTGGTTGTTAACAAAAAATTAAATAAATCGTAAATTGTACAATTTATAACTATGCTAATGATTTTGGATAATTTTGTTCTCGTTAACTTTTATATTATATTTCATTTCACTTTTTATAATTGTTCAAAAATTATTTAAATTCTCTCATTGCTAATTGTCGACTATTATTTAGTCTTAGAATTATTATTTTTATTTATTTTAAAATATACGGGTACTGAATACTTTTTTAAATGTTTGTTATATATAAAGGAAATATAAATTATCATTCATCTCTACATTTTTACCATTATATCCTTAATTATTTTTAAAAATATAAATTATATTTTTTAAGTAACAATCACTGAGTAACTTTATGAATAATTGTCAAATATATTTCCTTTTATATATTTTTTAAAAAATATTAAGAGGTTATGCACTTATACCTCTTTCTCCCCGGTTAAAATAATGAAAATTGTTTGTATAATTAGCTTTATAGTTGAATTGCCACTTTTTCTGGGATAAATCATTCACCCTCTCAAATAAGATGGGTACCATAGAATTTCTCTATTTCAAATTTATGTTTAACATCACAAATTAAAGTAAGTTTTGGCAGTAAGAAATTTATCATGAAACACACATAAATTCTCTTAATATAACATTTCAACAGTAGAAGTCGAACCTAAGTTATTAATTTTAGAGCACGACGTAGACATATCTATAAACTTTAAAAGAAAAATACACACATAAGTTCACATAATTTGTAGAAATATATATAGTCGAGATTTCAAGATCCTTGAATGGATTTGAATAGGAAATAAGAAATATAAATCCCTCCATTTGCAGCATCAAGGTTAATTATTTGCCTTATTTCTTTTTAGGAATGCCCGCGACATGCCCATCAGTATGGCCAACGCTGATGTGAGCCCCAGGCATGTTTTGAAGGCCTCCCTCCCCGTTGTTGAATGCGTGTGCAATTCCGCCTCCGCCTCCTGTAGGTCTGCATAAAATATTCAAATTTACTACTATGCTAATTCAATTTCTTAATTGCTTTCTATTCTTTTCACCCAATACCATAAAACAATACAAACCTACCTCTCCTAAAGACCAGTACAAATTCATTTGTGTCACCTCAAACACAACTTTATCACATGGTGTGTTCGAATGTCAGTTTCATTAATTCACCTAACTCAATCCAACACTCACACTCAATTGCTTCTCCGTTTGTGTAATAAGAAGTGTAAAATTTTCATTCAACGCTATTATAACAGATTTCTAAATGCATCTATAAACTGATTAATGTACATATATACTATGGGCTACATTAACACCAACAAACAACAAAACCATTCACTCAATTTTTCAATACGAGATATTAGGCGTTTTTTTTAATAATTTTTATTATTATTTAGTTTAAAGTTTCTATGCCTTCCTAATACATTTTCAGTCTCAAACCAAACCTTATACTAATTAAAAGTGCCAATGTTTACGTGGGTTCTAATTCTAGCTATATAGTTGTAGATGTAAACTTATGTAGAGTTTGTTAATCAGATCTATAGTTATTTGCAAGGCTAAGCTGTTAAAGTGGTTAAAGCTAGACACACCTCTCTAATTCCATTGATCAAGTGAGGACTTAAGCCTCAAACCAATCAAGTAAAACAGATCTGTCAGTTTCAACTTTTGAATATAAAATAAAAGTTTCAAATGCATACCTTGTTTTTCCCATTAGCAACCATATCAAAGCAGCGAAGAGGACAGCCAGCAGAATTGTTTCTGATTCCATATAGCAAGCAAAGGAGAATGGCGGCTAGCTGTGAAACTGGAGATATGCTAGGGTTTAGGAAATATATATATATATACCAATGCATAATACAAACCACTAGCTCTTTTTAATTAAGTTAATGTTTAAAGTTTATATAATTGCATAATATACATACATATATATATATATATATATATATATATATATATATATACCCATGCATAATACAAACCACTAGCTCTTTTTAATTATGTTAATGTTTAAAAGTTTATATATAACCATATTGATAATTGCATAATATGCATACAGATTGTATTTAATATGGGTAATTATCAATATATATGAATTTTATTTTTGACCACAAAACATTCAATTAAGAGTTAATTTCATTTTAGGATTTAATTATTTAAATATTAGGTCTTTTTGATGTTTTTCTTTGTTGAAATAGAATATAGGAAAAAATAATTTAAAAACTACAAGTTTTAAAATAAAAATATCACTCCAGGTTGCACAAAATCGTCACTCCAAGCTATGAAAAATTACTCAAAGCCACCACAAATTTGCTCTAAGCAAGTTAAGATAGAGAACAACATTGGGACTACATCAACTCGCTTAAAGTGAATAACATAGGCGCTTAATTAAAGCAACCACAATTTGCTTAGAGCGACCACAATTTGCTTAGAGCTACACAAATTTGTTTAAAACTATCTCAAATTCACTTTGAGCAAGTCAAGATAGAGAGTAACCCTGGAAGCATACACATGGTCATCACTTAAAGCGAGTTGCATGGACACTTTGAGCGAAAAAAATTTGTTCAGAACTAACACAAATTCGCTTTAAACTACACAAATTCACTCTAAGTGAGTGGAGATAGAGAGTGTACCCTTGGACACACTTACATGGTCGCTTAGAGCAAGATATGCAGACACTCTAAGTGATTGGATCAAACCCAAAAGCCTAAAAGAATATTTTTATTTATTTATAAATTTAGGATTTCTAGAGCTCTTTGTATTCCATTCCATAGATGATAATTCTTCTTAACAAAATTCTAGAGAGATTAGAGAGTTTCTATGAGATCAATCTTGTAATTACGAATCATTCAAGGGTCCATCTATTGTTGTGTATTCCTTAGTCATAAGTAAATAAGTTCTTTATTATTGGAGATTGATGTAGCTACTTGAACTATGTAATTTTCTCCGTTTTTCATTCAATAAAGTATTTATTCAGTTAATTATTTTATTCTTATATATAATACTTATTGCGACCTGATCAACATTTTCGTGATCTTATAATTTTTAATCGACATTGGAAAACTTTTTTTAAAATTACGACCTAGATAAAACATGGATGACATTTATTAATAAGGAATTGGGATAAAAACTTCATTGGTTGATTTTTGGTCCTTGACCTTGATACATGATTATTTAACAAAAATTATCAAGAAATTGAGATTTTTCTTAAAAAAAATAAGAATTTCTTACTTAAGAAATTAAGGTTTAAATACAATTGTGGGCTGTTGAACTAATTGTATAATTACAATGTTGAATGGAAAATAATGAAATTTTGCATAAAGATAATTAATGAATCAATATTCGACTATTTTTATTATGAATTCAATTTTATAACAATTTGTTACTTTATCATATTTCTATTGTGTTGGAATACTTATTGCTAAATAATTTCAATTTCTTATTAAATTACCTGTTTAGTACAAAAATTATATTAAATAATTATAAACTTAAGTTCTTATGGGTTTGATACTTAGACTTCTGTCTTCTTTATTATTACATCAATTGATATCCTTACCAAATGCATGTATATTAAGTGAATATAAATGACTAAAATTATATATATATATATATATATTAATTTTAAAATTATAAAATATAACAAAAAATAAAACTAACAGCTAAAAACTTTTATAAATCTGTGTGGGGGAAGATGTCTTCACCTCGTACAAAGAATGATTGGAGAAAGGAACCCTCCCCATGTGTTAAATGAAACTAATACAGTGCTCATACCAAAATGTGACCATCCCGAGACTGTGAAGAATCTTCAACTTGTTGCCCTGTGTAACGTGATATATAAGATTATTTTCAAAACACTTCTAGGTGAAATAGATTTAGAGTTATTAGTTAAATAAATTCTCGTGTTTAATATAATGATTCTAATTTGGCAAATAGAGAAATTATTTATTAAATTAGAATCCTTAAGATAAAAATAATATTTTTTCTTGTAATAATAATAATGAAAGAATGTGGATATTATTATTATAACATTTGAGGGGTATAATGATTACTAAGAAGTGAAAACAAAAAATAGTTACACACTTATATCTCCTCCATAATACCTACATCTTTAAATATCATATTATTAATAAAGCAATTATACACCAACCAACAATACAACTTAAAAAAAATTTCATACTATATCCTTAATAAAGAAAAAGGTTAACATACATATTATGGATAAGTTAAGTTGGTTGATGAATCACTTTCACGTAAGTCATCACGTAAGCAACCGATAATCTTGTTAAGAGCTTATGGTTGGCACAGACATCATTAAATCTCTTCTAGAATTCTCTCAATCTTGACATGCATATAATTCAATTGGACCAGTTCTAGAAAATTTCTTATACACAAAAACATGTAATCTACATTATCGTAATTTATAAAATGAAAAAATTATAGTCAACACAATTATCTTCCTACACTATACAAGGTATCGATAATAAACTTCTTTTATATTTTGAATACTTTTTACTTCAACAACATCTTGGATTTTGTACTTCAATGAGTGTAATGTAATACTTTCATCAATCCTAAAAAACTTAATTAGTAATATCACATTTATATGTAGTTCTTCTAAGACTTGTAGTAATTTGGCCTTCTTAAAAAAATGCCACAACTTTATTGGGAAAGGAGGTATCTATAGTATATATGAAGGGAATAATTTCTTTCCTTCAAACACTCTCCAATAAATTTTCTTAACCAAGCATTTTTTTATCCCTTGATTGCTTTCGAGGAAGACAAAGACATTGTGGCCTTTGTCGTCAACAGTGCCATGCCGTCCTACGCGCTAGAGTTGTAGTTAGGGGATTGATTGTGGACCACAATGGTGTGGTGGGTTGCGGTGCAACACATGAAAGGGTGGTCGTTGGAGGGGTTCAACTACGAGACGATTCTAAAATAATGTTGCGAAATGCTAGTGGGACTGATGCACATTCTGGTGTGGGTGACAGGGTTGTTGCTATTAAATGAGTTTGAGTACACGATGTTGATAGTCACCACAAAGGTCGGACGAATTGGGACAACGACTTGAAAAATTTGACAAAAAAAATGTAACAAACGGTCGAAAGTTGGAAATACTTTTGATGAAGAACCATAATCTTGATGGTTCAAAAGTTTTGAATCTATATAGTAAAAATATTAATGAAAGAGAAATAGTGTGAGATACACCTCTTAATCCACTACCATGTTGATTCAAACTATAAATAATACGCAAGCAAAGAAATAAAAAAGAAGAAGAAAAAATGAGCTAGACCATGTATCTAGTTAAATATGAAAAAAAATGAACATAAATAATGAAAATTTGATAAGAACATAAGGATAAAAATGACATTTAATACTATACTATTATATAAAATTAATTTAAAAATTTAAATAATAAATTTCTTTAATTTAATTATTTACACATCTAACAATATTATTTTCTGATCACACTTTATTTTGTTATCTACTGTATCAACCATATGGAATTCATATCACGGTAGATATGGTATGATAAGAAAGTATTGAATCTCGTAAAATGGAATAATTACAGACAGATTCTAACATGAAGTAGGGAAAAATGTCTCTCATGAATGAGGCACTAAAGTGACCGGGAATAACAGGCTTTTAACCGGAAAAATATAAAAAAAGTTACAAAAATATTTGAGAGCCACAGTAGCGTCGTCGTTGCTGCGCGTGTGGCTACAGTGACACTATCGCTGCGCATGCGGCCACGGTGACGACGCTGCTGCTGTCCATTGAAGAGGAATCATCAAAACCCTCACCGTTCGCGTTGCCGTGGAACAAATCTCGTTCTCTCTGGTTAGCCATAACGAAATCAAATTACGAGCAGAGGAAAGAAATTAGAAACCCTAGGTTCTGAGGCTGTGCGTGCGGCCACGGTGACGTTGCGCGCCGCTGCGCATGCGGCCATGGTGACGAGGCACCTTTGTTGTCCACCGAAGAGGAATCGTCGAAAACCCTCCCTGTTTGAGGGATCGATCGCATCGCTGTGGAACAAATCTTGTTCTCTCCGGTTAGTCATAGCGAAATCAGATTACGAGCAGTGAAAAGAAATTGGAAACCCTAGGTTTCGTTGCTGTGCGTGCGGCCATGGTGACTGACGATGTTGTTGCACGTGCGACCACAGTGGTTTGATGGGGATGAGCGCAGCCACGATGGTTCAACAGGATGAGCGCAACTACGGTGATTCAATGGGGATGAGTTGAGAAAACAAATTATCTGTTGTGAGTTGCCTTATCAGTTGAGAAAACAATCTTATACGTTAATTTTTTTTATTAATATATCTAATGACTAAAATTAATGATTCATCCATGAGAGGGACATTTTTTCCTATTTCATGTTAGAATTGAGCGTAACTACAAGCTAGAAATAGAAAAAGAAAAAGTAGAATAAAGATTGGAATATTAATGTTTCTACAATGAAGTACTTAACTAAGTGCCTCATCCATGAGGCATTCCAGCTATCGAAGGTTTTTATCCGAAGAATAAAAATAAAAAGTTAAATCACCTTCTCGACTCTTCTTTTTTCTGTGTCCGCTCTTCCTTTCCTTCAGCGATACCTTCCTGACTTTCTCATTCTCGTCAACTGCATCTACTTGCATGTTCAAATCAATGCCCATTTCACTTTGCACCACTTAAATCTATTAGTTTGGTACTCTAATTCTATTGTGTTCTTTTGCTGTTATTACTATTTTTTTTCTTTTCATTGCATACGTCTGATTAGTGTGTCGACAATCACAATGACCAAGAGGTGGATGTAGCCAAACGAAATGGCAAAGGGGAAAAAT